CTGTGGATCCACCCTCTGTCTATCAGAAGATTGTAAGAGGGATGAATTTCAACAACTACAAAGGTTTCCATCAAAACCCTTTCGGCAGCATGTACCGCTACCTCCACCGTGCCGATGGGCTCCACTCGCTTTCCATCAAACCTTAATAGTGGATTCCCGATGGATTTCAGCTGATCCTGTTTGATCTCGAGCCGATCGAACGTGTCTCTTGGCATGATGTTCGCACTACTTCCAGGGTCAATTAGAACTCTGCGCACCAAGCATTTGGCCACTGTCAAACTTATGACCAGCGGGTCCTCATGAGGGATCTGAACACGCAACAAGTCTGTTACGTCAAACTTTATCTGCGTTGACGCGCTCTGCTAGTGCAGAATGTTTACACTGCCTATCCTTCTCTTCATCTGTGCCTGACGAAGGCGTGTTCGAAGCAGTTCATTTGATTCCTCAGCAGGTTCTGGCCGACCGTGAATTGCATTAATTACTCGAACTGGTTACGTGTTGTGAGAATTCGACTTCTGATTCTTCTTCACATGCTCCATCGGCCGGTTTTGCTCCACCGCTGGTCCTTGAATATAACTTGCGAACTCCCCTTTGGCTATCAGCATCTCTACCTGTCTCCTTAGGTTCCTGCATTCGTTAGTCTGGTGGCCAAAATCAGAATGAAATGCACAGTGTTTAGACTGATCCCTCTGTTCGAGAGGTTGTCTGATTGGTAAAGGAGGTCGGAACTTATCTTTATTTTCTTGGTACAGTCTTGCTAGGGTAACTTTCAATGGAGTAATCAGCTCTTCCTCTCTGGGCCTCTTTTCGGATTTCCACGAGGAGCGTTGCGGTTGGACCTGTTTTTGCCTGATCTTTGCTTTGGTCTTTTCTTCCGTGGATATAACGGATGTCTTCCAAGCGTTTGCCGCCTCTTCTTCTTCCAAGCGCACAAATCCATCGGCTATTTCATTAAGTTCATCCATAGTCCTCGGCGTGTTGACCACCAAGCTTGTGTGGAACGGGGTGCCACGATTTATGGCCAGTATGAATGCTTGAACTGCCGTTGAAGGGTGACATTCAATAACCATGCTCTTGGTAAGGTTAAACCTGGTTAGGAAAGCCTGGAGACGCTCTTTAGCGTGTTGCTTCATTGTGAATAAGCTCGAAATATCTTTTGCTGGATGCTTGTTTCCATAGTATTGGCTTATGAACCGATCGCACAGGCTTCGGAAACTATCCACCGAACCCCTCGGCAGGTTCTTGAACCAATTCAGAGCTGGTCCGGCCAGACTTGTAGGAAAGCACTTGCACATCAAAGAATCATTCTCAGTGTTTAAAGCCATTTTCAGCTGGATGTGATACACATGATCGATCGGATCAGTCGTTCCGTCGAATAGAATGAAAACGGGCATGGAAAATTTCCTCGGACTCGGAGCATTCAGAATCTCATCGGTGAACGGTGAATCCACCGTTCGAGCTGCTGAACGGAGTGCTTCATTTTCCCTCGGGAACCTCGCGGCTGCTATATGGTCTACTGATCTCCTCTCTGAGCTGTGATAGTCGAACGTCGTCATGGAAGGCCGATAGGTCGGATCGAATGATCTATCCTTAACGAAGTCCTTGCGCCATGGAGGCATAGCTTTCTGACGAATCAACTCTGTTGCTTCACCTCGGCTGAGTGTTTCTTGATGTGGATCAAAAGTCATTGCTTCGTTTCACCTGATCTGCTCACACCGTGGATCCATATGAGTCAATCCTTCACGATCATCCATACGACGAAGATTTGGCGGCAAACCATCTAACCGGATTTCCTCGCAGTGATGATCTACTAGATTGTTTTCAACCTCCTCACCGTGATGTGCTGCATCGGTACGTGCACCTTCTTCTCCTACCGGGAGTGGTCGTAGAATTACTGGAGCTTCCTGACACTGCATTTCATTCTTTAGATCCGCATTTTCTCTCCGGAGAGCTTCGATCATGTTCATCAACTCATCAAGTTTCACTTGCTGGACGTTCTCAACCGTATTAGAGTTGTCACCCCCTATCATGGTTCCGGATCGAAGCAAAGGCATGAATTACGAACTTCGAAACAGATCTAAGCGTTACCGATGCAAACTCCGCTAGATCTGGGCTTAACTTCACCGAATCGTGATCGCTGTTTGCTAAATCTGAACTTTTCTAGCTTCAAACTCGTCGGATCTGATTGCAATTGAGCAAATCACAATTGCGTCCTTCCAAAGCAAATGCCTCAGAATCCACAATAAGCAAGAATTCTCTCGGAACAAACTACAATCTCACTGATCTGGATTCAACTTCCAGAAATCACACTGCATATTCACAAACTCGATTTAACTAATATGGTACTGATTGAGCTCAAATTGATCTTCGTCCTCGATTCCCACAGACGGCGCCAATTGAAGATACAAGATTTCGGTTCTTCTCCTTCTCTCTCTCTCTCTCTCTCTAGCATTCTCCCCTAACTTTCTACTTGTCATGGTCTATTTATAGGCCATCACCCTTATTGCTGCTAACCAATTACATTGGACCTATATTCGAAAGCTCTCTTCCTTCTGGGCTTGGTCTTCCAATGGGCTTGACCTTCCTCGTTGGATCTCTCAGGTTCGGCCCATTCCAGGGCGCTTTGTCATGGATCCTACTTCAATCATTCGACCCGATCTCACTCCTGCAAACCATATCCGGCCCATGCCACTTGCCGCATCCTCAAGTACATGCTAAAATGGAGTTGGGATTCTCTATTATGATAGCACGGTGTTGTACAACGAGAGACCCCGTTGTGATAGCACACACATATAATTGCTCTAAATGTACAACATGGAATCCGTGCTTTGCAAAAATTTTTATTTATTGAAGTACAGTTGATTTCAATTGTGTCTAACCGGTTTTCATTCCTTTTTCTGTTTCTTTTTTCATAAATTATGGGAAACATGTCATAATCTTACTCAATACACCATATGAGAAATAAAAAAATAAAAAAACTTTAATTGTATCAGATCACTATCATAAAGTGAAATATAAGCATAATTACAGTGTTTAAAAGCATAGGGCCACAAAAAAGTAAAAATTCATAGAAACACTTACATTATTACATAATCCATGTCGTCTGCCGTCTAACATTTCTCTATTTTGTTCACATGGAGGAGACATAATAGAAAATACATAAAGCATTCATTTATATACTTAAAGCATTTATTTAAATCGAATAAATTTATTGAAATTATGAATGTGTGCTAAAACGAAATAAGTGTGCTATCTAAAGCATGTTTAATTAAAGAATGTGTGTTATGTGGAATTTCGAAAACTTCCAACCCAAAATAATCCATTTTGAAGTATCAGAAACTGCAAACAATCCATGATCAGCTTCTAGACATGCTGGTGGTGGAGACATTGGTTTGGCTCTCTTCTTGCTCGGGTTGAATTCCTTCCCGCTTCCCAGAAGGCGGTGAGTTTCACCACCACCACCACCACGACGAGTCTGATTCGCTAAAGATGCAAATATTTCCGTCAACAACCACTGCCCTAATGTGCTCCTATGGGTGGTTCATCACAGTACCGATCTTCCACCGCCCGGACGACATGTAGTTGCTAGCGTCGAAATGCAAAACAGAGGAGCCTATAAAATTGTATATGGTGGAGCCCGGAGCCACCAGGGTCACACAGCAGTCCGTCCATGGCATTTGCAAACATGTTGTCATCGTCGTCTTTGTCTTTGTTCTTGTCCATATCCTTGCTTGAAAATGATAATTTAACTGCGTTCCAATTTGAATGTGGAGGTACCAATTTGAACATGGGCGCAAGAAGATACACAGAGTGTTGACATCAATCAAATAAAACATTTTAGTTCTGTCAGTGTTTGGCAGCTTGGTGGGGCAATGTTAACAGCCATCAGCACGCCCGTCATTTGAGACCTATGTTAAACATTATTTATTTCAAAAGATTAAATAGTTAAAAATTATTATGTTAACTTAAATATATAAATCCTTCGAGTGGATTAATCATTCCCTCTAAAATACAACAATTAAAGTAAGATGGAGGGAGTAATTTTTTTTTAAAAAAGTGTTATTGTACATATATATTAACCATCAATTGTGACTTGTGATGTGGACTAATGAAGAACAAAAAAGCAAACAAAAATTCAATTTCAACCACAATAACCAACTTTAAATTCAATTATCATTTACATTTTTTTGGTCCTTACATTATAATCACATTGTCAGTCCAATTTTTGTCATTTCAATTCCTCAGTTTGCATTAGTCTAGATTGGCTTAACAATTTATCACCATTTGCACTTTTGTTTTGATAATGAAAAATATCCATTTCCATTACATTCGAAGTGTTTGATTCCAATTTGTAATTTTAAAGTCCTCAATGTATAATCCCTTTTTCCTTTTACAATTGCTTAGGCCAATTAATATATAAAGTGCTTGACATCCTAGCAATGAGTCTCGCCATATTATTTTATCTAAACAACGTATAAAGACATTCATGGTTGGTTTGGTAAGAAGAAAGACGGATGAAGGAAAGAAACAAACTTTCATCTTTGACAGGGAGGAGACAATAAGAGAAGAAGAAATGGTATAGATAGTCGCGCGAAATAGGTAGAGAAAAAGAAAGAGAAGCAAGACTGTTATGAAAATTTTAAATTATAATATTATTCTTTGTAATTATTAGATAAAGTCAATGTTAACCATCCTCCATAAATACTTTATTACTCCTATTGTATTAATAGGCTTCTCAATATATCTAGCCTACTTCTATATTAATGCAGCAAATGAAAACCTCCACGGTACTTTCTGTAATTTGTCCTTTTTAATAATGTCTTTCTTATTTTATTTTCTTAGGATAATTTTTTCATTTAGCCAAATAGAGCCTAAATAAAATAGTACAAAGAAAAACAGAATAAAATAAATAGCACAAGCCATGGCATGCCGCATGCCCAATTACATAAATTATATATATATATATATATATATATATATATATATATATATATTGGTGAATGAGCACATGGTGTGGTGTGGATGGTACAAAAGTCTGGTACTGATTAGAATAGTCTGAATGAGGACATAGTGTGGTGTGGGTATGGAATTTCCTACCGGTTAGGAGTCCATATAGAGTGAGAAAATTAGCTCCGACGGACTCTCTTTATCGTCTCTTGCATCCACCATTAAAGCCCTAAACCAGTAAAATCCAGTTCGATTTCGAAAAACCAGAAAATGGACACTCTTCGTCTTCAAATCTCTGTTAGCAATTTTCCTTCTCTGTGTCACTGTAGTCACAGAAATAGAATTCGAAGATTCAGCTCACTCAAATTCCAACCCATTCACAACAAAACCCTAATTTCTTCAATTCTCCGCAAACCCAGTTTTGTTAGTCTCCGGCACGTCGGTTGCAGTGCCGAGGCCGCCGACCACCACCACCACGACCACCAACATCATGATCACCACCACGACCACGACCACGACCAACACCATGATCACAACCACAATCATCACCATCACCATCACAATCATGGCGGTGAGACTCAGCTGACTAGATCACAGGAAGCTTTTCTTCGATTTGCCAGAGCGATCAGATGGACTAATTTGGCGGATTTCTTGCGGGAACACTTGGAGCTGTGCTGCTGTTCGGCGGCGTTGTTTATTGCTGCCGCCGGTTGCCCTTACGTGGTTCCGAAGACGGCGGCAAAGTCTCTACAGCATGTTTTCACTCTCATTGCTTTCCCTCTGGTTGGGGTATGTATGATTGTTCTCCTACTTCTTCTTCTTAGCATCATCTTAACTGCCAATGATACATTAATTAGGATATTTCAAACCTTGCTTGCTAATATACACACACATTGGCAAGTCTTGCTTGCTAATAATTTTGTATGTATTCTGCAACTTCGATAGAACTACATGAAACTCATGGTAATATTGTTGATGGATACAGCAAATATAATCATTGTGGACCAGAGACTGGGGATAACATATGTGTACAGGGATATGTTTTGTACTAACTGTGATATTTCAAACATTTTTAATTGTGCTAACTTCTCATTGTGAGGTGACTTTAGTGATAATTGATTAGAGACAGCTTTTAGAATGTTTTGGGCCTTTGGCCATGTGAAATGGAGCCAATACACTAATGAGGATTGATGAGGTTTAAGAAATTATGACCCTACATGTAGCAGAATGGTGGAATTATATGTGTTAATGTGTGTGGTTGAACCAAACAGTTGTGACAAAGGCTTCCTTCAGTCGAGTTTAATTGTCATGTACTGGACAATATTTAGATGGAGAATCTACCTCAACAAGCTTTTGTGCCACTACTGTACATATTATCTTGTCAGATACCATTCTTGATTTTTATCTACATGAGTTATTATCCATGGTCAACTGTGAAGGAGTTCTTTTTGTTTTAGATAAATTGGGATAAAGGATGTTGGTTAACTGATTTGATTTCTTTGACTGCTATCGGGTCTTTATTCATGTTTATGTTGGGTTGTTTTTATGTCCTTTGCTATGCTTTGCATTTGAGGATGTTCTGTTTTGATCATATATCGTTTACGCATTCACCAGATTACATGTTTCAGAGATTGGGGTGTCTCCTATATCTTATCTCTTGAACATTTTTAGAAAACAATGTCAACCTTTTTTCATTGTGATAAAAGTATCTTGTTGCTCTAGAAATCTTTCTAAACCTTATGTCATTTTCATTTCAGGTCTCAGCATCATTTGATGCACTTATGGATATTACTGGTGGAAGAATCAATATTCATGTGCTGATGGCTCTTGCAGCCTTCGCGTCAGCACTGATGGGGAACTCATTGGAGGGAGGATTGCTTCTTGCAATGTTTAATTTGGCTCATATTGGTAAGTACTGTAACATGGCTCACCTGACAAGGTTTCCTTTTCAAGGTATATGTGAGGTTTACTTTCTTATATATCTCATGACTCCAGCCGAAGAGTACTTCACCAGCCGCTCGAATGTTGATGTTAAGGAGTTAAAAGAAAATTATCCAGAATTCGCTCTTTTACTGGAAGTGAACAATGAAAAGTTGCCTGATTTTTCTGATTTGGAATATGAAGAGGTTCCTGTGAATGGCTTAGAAGTGGGCTCATATTTATTGGTCAAAGCTGGTGAGGTCTGTGTCGTATATTTCTCTCTTTTAATTTAATATTTATCTTTCTTACTGTAACTACAACAACAATTGCAGAACTTATTACATTTTGTCTGCATTAATTTTGCTCTTATTTATTGATGATTTGTTTTTTAGTATTGTTACCATTGCTTACCTTATTTCTAACTAAAATTTATATGAGTTTGGTCTTTACTAGTTTGACTTCCCATTTTGAGGCTATTAGATGGCAATCTGCAATATTTTGTTTGAAATTTCTCTTAGATTGCTGTTTAAAATTTCTTAAATGGTAGCTGGTATTTTTTTATCAGTCAGTGCCTGTAGATTGTGAAGTTTCCCGAGGCAGATCAACAATTACCATTGAGCATTTGACTGGGGAGGTTAAACCATTAGAGAGGGGAGTTGGGGATTGTATTCCTGGCGGTGCAAGGAACTTGGATGGGATGATGATAGTGAAGGTATGTGCTAGCTTTTTTCAGATTTCTTTTAAATTTTCAAATATCTCATATATATATATATTCTAAAAATAACAAAAGTTGTTGAAGTATGATGTTGTTCACAGCGTATTAGATGTATAGAACAGTATTGATGTGCTTCCCATTTTTTTTTTTTTTGGTGTGTGTGTGTGTGTGTGTGTAAAGTTCTTGGGAAATTTGTGGAATTGAAAATGATAGAAGCGGCAGTAAGTTGGCGGTGGTGGAAGGCATCAGTCTGCCAGCAATATTATGGGTGGTGGCGGTGGATTGTCACAGTTGGTGATATGTTGGTGGTGGAGATGTGCCAGAGATGTTGCATTGACAGTCTTAAAAACAATGGTACAATTGCTGTGGTAGTTGTGGTAACATATTGTTTGATGTGGTGGTGTGGTAGTTTTGGCAGTGGCATTGATGTCAAAGGAGGTGGCTGTGTGTTTCTTTCTTAACTTAGTGTTTGTGAACAGGCAGTAGTTACAAAGTTTGGAGATGGGTTGTGAATTGCTAAAGGTAGAATGCTAGAATTGGCTTTTGTGGTGGTTGCAATCTCGGGTCCTGTGGTTGAAAAGGAGCAGATTGGGTATTAAAGGCTTGGAGGTATGTTGACAGTAACAATATGACATGTGGGAAGTGGTTTTAAGATCAAAACAGTGGTGTTGCTAACAGAGATGGTGACTACAATGGCAGTGGCAATGATGAATTTTACAAGTAACTATTTGTGTTTGTGGTGGTGGTGTTGAAAATGGTTGCTGGTGAGCATTGGTCATTCTTTTTCTTTTTCTTTTTTCAGGCAGTGCTGGTGCTTGTAACATATGGCAATAATGGTGAAGAATGAAAGTGCCAAAGGTAGTGATTATGGTTGTGAGTAATAGTCATGTGGCTGGCTGTGGTGGTGTTTCTTATTTTGTTTTTCCTTTTTCAGGTTTCTCTAAAGCCTTGCTAATAGAATATCCACTAAGTTGTGATTCTCTTTTCTTTTTTTCCCTCCAACTAAATCTGAAGTTCCAATTTGTGATGGAATTATAAAGGTTTACCAAGTGTTGCACCCCACATGAGATTGGTACTCAATAAGTCTCTCCCCAATTACCCTTAGTTCCTCCCTCATTTTTTGAACCAAATATTTCCTTGAGGTTTTTTTTTTTTTATTTGCAGGAGTTTGCCATGCAAGAGGATTTTGACTAGTTCAAGTGAAACCAATATCTTATGCTTATTCCTTTCTTATATTTTCCTTTGGTTTCTTATCAGCCATTAGACATAATTTATTATAGATGTTTATTGGTGTACCTCTTGGTTGAGGTTTTATGCTTCTATACATTGGTAGCTGGTTTGTCAATTAGTTTTGGGCCAGGTAAGGTAAATGAGAGAGCCGCTTTTGTGAGCTTCATTTTCTAAATGAACAGGACTAATAAGTTCTAATAGCTTGTTATATTGTGTTTCTTAAGTCGTTCAAGGTTATCTTTGAGCCAAACCCCTCTCTTCCTTTCCAGATCCAGTCTCTTCCATTTTATCTTAATCTGATAATAGTAAGACTTCTCAGGATTCAAAACAGTCCTCCATATCTCTCAGAGATTCATTGCCTGGACCTCTCCCGATTGAGATGAGCTAAGTTCACAAATGAATCTTGTCAAATACCGCATCCCGAAAATCCAATGACATGAGAAAAAAATAGTAAGTCAACGTTTATTAAACCCTACAATTATACTAGTCGAGTATGTATATAATTCTTAAATTTCAAATTTGGCAGCTCAAATAACTCTAGAAAATTTATAACTTACATACTAGAACTCTGTTTTACATGAAATAAATTTGTGTCAGGTAGACTTGTCTACCAACAACAACAAACAAGCCTTGGAATTACTGGGGTTCGGCAACATAAATCTTATGTTTTCATTCTGCTCTATCCAAGGCCGTAGTCTCAGTCAAACCACATGCTATCATATCCTTCTATACTAACTCTACCCATGTTAACTTTGGTCTTCCTCTTCCCCTAGTTTGACCCTCACTGTGGACTATGTCACTCTTCCTAACTTTTGCATTTAAAGGTCTTCTTTACACATGTCCAAACCATCTTGACTGATTTTCTCCCATTTTATCTCCAATTTGTGCTACTCCTACCATCTCCCGAATGTGATCGTTTCTAATTATATCCTTTCTGGTCTTACAGCAAATCCATCTTAACATTCGCATTTCTGCCACTCACTTTATGTAAATGTTGTTTCCTTATTGCCCAACACTCTTTTTAGACTTGTCTACCAACTTGCTAAAACTGTACAACTTCAAATTGTTATTACATTTATTTTAAATACCGAAAAAAAAAAGAAATTTCTATAATTCAAAACAAACATGTTAGATGAAATATAGTTGCTCAAAAGATCTCTGCGTTGCTTTTTGACTCTTAAATCTAATTGCAGAACTATTTTTTTTTAAAACTCATCTATATGGTGTTGAGTGAATGGGATTTTGATTTAAATAAGTACAAGAGGATAATCTCCGAACTCTGTTTTGTCACTCCACTACTGCGCGATTAATCTAGTATTAGCACGATCGATCCAGCTTCCACAACAGCTCAATCCGTCGGTTTCTCTCAATTGATCATCTTCTGCAACTACTCAAAAGGTTTTAGTTTGATCGGTCCGGCATTTATACCAGTTGGATCCATACAAAATGCTGAACCAATCCACCTGTGTCTAACGATTTTTACTAATTTCGAACATGATTAAGACTTTATTTCTAGATAATCATGCTCACGACCAAAATTATCATGGCCAAATTTATAAAACATTTAGTCTTATAATTTAATCTAAATATCGATAAAATTAGTATGGGCTACAGATCTTCTCTTGGTAATCCAGGACTAGCCAGAGTGTGCGGATTGATATTGGCAGACCAAGACATGGCTTGCAGAGCTTTGCTTGTGATCTGGTTTTTGTTCTATTCTTCAGGTTGAGCTGGAGGGTATCTTCCTAGGCTGCATACCTCTCTTGAAATGATGGATGATTCAAAAGGGTTTGTTTAGAATCAGACACCCAAGCTGCAATCATAGCCATGATATATATTCACTGTGGACACAGATCCAATGGATTCCTTGTTGGGGACAGAAATTTTAGCCATAGCTTAGTTCCCAGGTTTCCCAGAATGGAGTGGTTTTTGCATCTGAAATTTGGCTGTCTCCCTTGATTTGTTCTCTTGCAATTTTCTATTTTAAATGTTCTACAATTGATTTTAGATGATGATGAGAATACATCTTTTGACATTCTTTCCATGCGTAACTCAACATATAATATATTTTGTGTCTTTGTTCTCATTGTTGTTTCTTGTCCAATTCATCATTAACTTTCAATTCAGGCGAAAAAGACATGGAATGAATCCATGCTGAGCAGAATTGTGCAACTAACTGAGGAAGCTCAACTATGTAAGCCAAAGCTTCAAAGGTGGTTGGATAAGTTCGGCGAACATTACAGCCAAGTGGTTGTAGTTCTATCAGTTGCCGTTGCCTTCATTGGACCGTTTCTTTTCAAGTGGCCTTTCATTGGCACATCAGGTAATTGGGAGGATATTTCTATTTTATGTGTTTTTGAAAAATCTTTTCTATTGTTTAGTTGTTGAACTTGCTTTTTATATGATGCTATAACGCTTTGAATTGGTTTCTACTCTTAAAGAGGGTCTTTATACTATCAGATGTAATTATCATATAAGTATTCATCACAGTTTAGATTAAGTCAACCTGCACTGTTCAATAACCCCCCAGTATTTTGTAGGTTTAAATATCGAAAGGGGACAAACTTCTTGTGAAATGTGTAAAATTTTAAAAGAAAGAAGTTGTGATTGTGATACTCAGAAGCTTCAACTGCCAGAAGTGATGGAAACTTCACAAGAGTTATTTCAATTATGCTGACTTAACAACTTTAGGAAAGCAGCTCATGCTGAAAAAGTTATAGGCTAGACCCTAGTGCAGTTACTTTTTTCAGAAACCTAAGGCTAGGTTTGGACTTTTCCCCTGATAGACATGTTCCTTTTCCAAAGCCCATGAATGCATTTTAGGGCTATTTAATAGTGTTTAGGATCTTGGGTATACTTGAGAATAAATTTGTTATGAACCTATGGTATAATGAAATTTGTGTTGATGAATACAGAATGTAACTTGGTGGGCAAAAACATGACATGAGCAAGACATGCAATATACAAAAATAATAATAAATAAATCATAAAACAAGTATGTAATGCCAAAATGGCAGAAATTTCTCTAGTGAGCGTGTATGACACATCACTACCACAGTACCCTTATCTAAAAACAAATCCAGAAACTTCAAGAGAGCTGGTAGAGAGGTATAAGGAAGGACCGTACGAAACTATGGAAAGAAATCAACGTTTTCTTTCTTTCTTCTGTCTGTTTTCTTTAAATTAGGATCCAAATCACTGGAAAAGTTTGTGACATTATTCTAGGTAATCGAGGAGGATCCTAGTGTGGTTGTTGGCTGGGTTGCTTCCAGATCATTGGTTTCCTCGCAGTATCTCATTGGTTGAGAATGATTGTGGATTTATCAACCATCTTGCATAACAAATAATGAGGCTGATGGTTTAGATAATAGAGATATAATCATTTAAGCGGCATTATTGGCCTCTTTGATGCATCTTTTGTTCGATGTTGGCAGATTTTTTATTTTTTTGTACTATTAGTTTTAGGCTCTGCCTTTGGCGAATTTTTTCTTCTTTACAACGAAATTTCAGTTTCTTATTAAAAAAAGAAGCTTGGGATATTGTAATGCGGAATAAAAATTCCCTTTCTTCAATATATTGAATAAAAGATAGTTACATTTTCATATTTTATCATCATCATCATCATCCTTGCATTTATCCCATATGGTTGGGGTCGGCCTTCTATTTTTTCATTATTTTCTATTATATACTGTTGGAGAATATTATTATAGGAACCTTAAATTACTCCACAGAATATTGCTCTGAGAATATTGTGGGAGTGATTTTAGTCTATTGTAATAAATGATTGGAGTGTTTTATGGGATTGATTTTATGAATCCTCCATTAATGTTTTTTTCATATTTATCACTTTGTTCTTTCACCTATAAATAGAGGTGCTCATTGTAAACAATCGTAAGAGAGAGTATAATAAAGATATGTAGCCCTTTGAGTTTTGTGTGCCGTGGATGTAAAGCCCTAGTGGCTGAACCACGTATATTCTCATGTTCTTCATTTTTTATTTCTCTCTTCAACTTTAACATATACCATATCCTCTCTTAAAATCTAAATTTTTAAGATCATTTATAGATACTGCATTCCATGTAAGTTACATTTTTCATATTATTATATCTTAATAAAAGGAAGTTACCAAATGAGAAAGATTTTAAATATAGACAGAAAAGATGCATTTAAACAAGTAAAGATATCAAAACAAAAATGGTTTCAGAACTTTGTTTTGTATCTAATGTTTAAGGTTGATGCTTCGACAATTAACCTTTAGTGTTGCACTGTATTACTGTAATTTAGAAGCCAATGGGCGTAATTGTAAATCTTTGGGGCATCTTTTGGATTTTGTGGATAGCTTGAAGCTATAGTTGTCGCCTTTGGCGTCTTGTGTATTCTTTTGGGAGAGCTCCCCTCTTTAGCGCCTTTTATGAAATTTTACTTTTCAAAAAAAAAAAGCCAATACTCAAAATTTCTTTTTATGATACAATATTTTGATACGTTGGGAGATCTAAATATTTTTCACTACCTCAATATTTGTGTTAGCAAATATGATAGTCACGATTTATGGAATGACTTACCATATTAGGAGAGATTTGATAGTCACGAATCATGGCATATAATATGCATATAATATGCCATAGAATATGCTGTGATTTGATTTAATTTCTTTTCTTCTTGCTATTAGAGCCAGGGCGATTTGACTGCAATGAGGGCATTGCAAGTTCGGCACCACCCATTCGAGAATAGTCTAAGGAGAGGTGTCGAGTAGGCAAGGTAGTCTGACCTCAATGAAAGCATTACGAGTTCGGCACCAACCATTCGGAAATGGTCCGAGGGGACATGGTTTCTTTTTTATGGTCTGAGGAGACGTTGATTCTTTCATCTACATTTTTAATATATGTATGAAGGGGAATGGTCTGAGGAGACATTGTTGATTCTTCTATCTGCATATTTTAAATGTGTATGAAGAGAAATGGTCTGAGGAGATATTGTTGATTGATTACAGTTTGGGGAGACATTGTTGGTTGTTTATGGTCTGAGGAGACATTTTTGATTTTGCACTCCTCAGCTTGCAAACATTCTTACAAAGGGCGTTGGCAAGATTGTGTTTGAGGATGCATTGTTCAAGTTGGGCGTTTCAAATAATCATGCACCAACTTGAGGGGGAGTGTTAGCAGATATGATAGTCACGATTTATGGAATGACTTACCATATTAGGAGAGATTTGATAGTCACGAATCATGGCATATAATATGCTATAGAATATGTTGTGATTTGATTTAGATTTTGATTTAATTTCTTTTCTATATTTGAGAGAGTATTTTTCCTTCCATTTTTGATAAAATCTTTGTAAAAGGGGTGTGGCAATCTGACATGTTGTATAGAGAAGGATAAGAGTTTTGCTTTATTGATGCTTGTTGAGGGATTTAAATATTAAAGTTACACCCTCTAACAGCTTAAACTTTTGGAGTAGATGGTACTTAACATGGTATCAGAGACAAAGGTCTCGAGTTCAAATCTCACCATGGCCCTGAAAATTAAAATTGAAAAACACGTGTTGGACCAAAAAGAAGGCCACATGTGAGAGTGTGTGTTGAAGGATTTAAATATTAAAGTTATACCTTCTCTAACAGCTTAAGCTTTTGGAGTAGATGGTAGTTAACAATGATCATTTTGGTGGAATTTAAAAATGTCCATATCTTAACTTGTTATATCTATATTACATAGACCCATCTCCTAACATAGTTTTTGAGGTGTTGTGATGGTTAGTATACCGTTTGACATTTAAAAGGTCTTGGGTTCATGCCATTTGGGGGCAAACTATTCGCTTCTTTTATGGAATCCTCTAACTTGCTTCAAATCCCTTTGGAATACTAAAAACAAGCCAATGTGATTCTCGCATGATTGTATGGTGTTGGGATGTTCCCTTGAGAACTTAATTCCCAAATTAGCATTGTGGTTAACAGGAATGCTTTTATTGCTGTAGTATATGATGAAATTTGAGAGAGATAGAGAGAAGGGAGGGGGGAGGAGCTGGAGTCTGTGAAACAAGTTTTGAAATGCTCTATCGGCATGATAAATCCGTTGGTTGATGCAGATCTGTGGAAATTTTGGTATAGAATTTACACACTAGTGAGTGGAAAGGACGGTGTGAATTTTCCTTTGAAATGCATTTGTCGTGTCTGTTAGAAGTTTTATATATATATGTTGGGTCATTATGTAATTACATTTAGTTAATAGGACCCTTGTGTTGTTATGCAAAACTTGTACCCTTTATATATAAGCCTACGCAGGCTTATTAGGTGATTGTGTTGAATATACAGTATTTGTGTTTTGCTCTCTCTCTCTCTCTCGATTCTGAACATGGTATCAGAGCAAAATGATCATGGGTGTGAGAGTCAGTAGGTGGGTTGTTTTGTATAAGATCTAAGTTCTTGTATACGATCTGAATCGCAATCGGAATCACGATTGTGGTTTTGGTGTCTCTGCCGACAGCTTCTCCTTCGTCGTCGTCGGCAATTCCTTATTCACCGTAGTCGGATCTGCAGCCTCGTTTGTCGTCATCAGATCTGAAGCTTGTTTGTCATCGTCTCTGCTTTCTTCGTTGTCGCCTGCAGCTCCTCTTTGGTTGTTAGCGAGCTCGCCGACATCTGCCGTCTCGATTTGCAGAGGTGAGGTTGGTTTTTTTTTTTTTTTGGCCGGAAGTTGCAACCGCTGCTTGTGATTGGGTGGCCGTCGCTTCCGCCGTGTTGTACACCGGTGTCTGTGAAGGTGTGAAGAAGAAGACTAGTGTTTGGCTACACGGTTATGCTATTCCAACCCAGGTTTACTAAACTTGGGATAACTATTCCAATTTCAGTTTACTAAACCAGGGATAGCCCAGATCCGGCCCGTTTACCCGGACCCGACCCGTTTGCCCAGATCCAGCCCGTTTACCCAACCGTTTGCCCAGGATCCGACCCGTTTACCCGGATCCGACTCGTTCCCAGGTTCGGCCAGAATACAAATTCTGCATTTTTTTTTTTCTTTTTCCCCTCTTCTTCTCTGTTTTCCTGGATTAAATATGACATCCAGTTCAGATTTGCTTTTTCCCACATTAAGTCTTCATTCTCCCATGACTTCAGTTAAACTCAATGGGAAGAACTACATACTGTGGGCTAAATCTGTTGCAATTTTTCTTAAAGGCAGAGGTCTGGGCAATCATCTGACTAAAGATAAACCCAAGGAAACTGATACTTCTTTTGATACATGGGAAAAGGAAGATGCTCAGATCATCTCTCTGCTGTTAAATAGTATTGAACCCCAAATCAGTTCAACTTTACTTTACTTGGATACTGC